AAACAACTTTTTCCTTAGTGAAAATGTTGTCCGAGGCTTCGTTGAGGAGATATTAACAAAAAACGCCGGACCAATCAACGGGCGCTTTATTGGCATACTCGCGCTCTGATTGGTCAGTGTTTTCTGTTCATATTTCCTCAACGAAGCCTCGGACAACATTTTCGCTAAGGAAAAAGTTGTTTCAAATCACCTCCACTCTGTATATACAGGGTGTCCCAAAAATATTGTAACACCTTGAAAGGGGTGGTTCGGGAGGTGATTTGAAACAACTTTTTCCTTAGCGAAAATGTTGTCCGAGGCTTCGTTGAGGAGATTATAACGGAAAACACTGACCAATCAGAGCGCGAGGATGCCAGTGGAGCGCCCGGGGTAGGTGTGGCCTACGCGCTGGGCGACCGCCCTCCGCTGGTATACGCGCGCTCTGATTGGTCCAGGGTTTTCCGTTAGTATCTTCTCAAGGAAACCTCGGACAACATTTTCGCTAAGGAAATAGTTGTTTCAAATCACCTCCCGAATCACCTCCTTCGAGGAACTCAAACATTTTTGGAACACCCTGTATATTCTAATCATATTAGAATCATATTATTGTAATCATATTATTTATACGATTATAGAATAATAAAATTTCATTTTGCATAATGAAGATTTTAATTATAATAATTGTATACAAGCAACAATAAACAATATTTTATGGCTACTAAAATCTGTACTTTCGTACAGATGCATTGTAATATTCATTAGTTTGAGACTTGTGTTATGTAAACAAGCAAACACTCTTCTACACGTTACAAGCATCCTTGATAATTATAATAATTGCAGGAGATACTACTCCAAATGTTGACACAAAGAATTTTTATTTGTTTTCAACAGATATTTTTCTATATTAGATGTTAACATCGCTCTACTAAACTATTGATTTTGTGCATTTATGGGATACGTTAATATATAAAATATACAAATGTGAAGATATTTGTGCATTTATGTGATACGTTAATATGTAAAATATACAAGTGTGAATATATTCTAAATAATATTAATATTCCATGTATTTTACTAATATTACCAACATGCAGATATTTGTGTTTCTTTCTCCTAAACGGGACAATAATTTACTAATTTAAACGCCACGTGTTTTCAATATTCCCCACGAATACATCCAAGGCAGACATATAAAATCAAGGTCAAAGAATACCGTTCATTTTATTCTCCTTCGCAACTAAGTTCCTCGTTTATTGTCCACCTTTACTTTTCGCTCCCTCTGGTTATACTTCCCTCCTCGCCATTTTACATATTTTTCATGCATAATTACGTTACTGACTTAACTATGTTCCACTAAATTGTGTTACGCTATTAGTTTCTGTAATAGAGCCTTGATAGCGTACTTGGAAAGTCGAAATAAAATAGTTAACCGTATTTCTCGAACACCGAACATTAATTATTTTGTTTTTCATGAAGAGTGCTCCATACATGGTGTGATGGATACATCGGTGATAGAAAACAATTAATGTTAGAAATGATAACGACAGGAAAATGGCGAATATTGCAAATATACCAGTTTTAATTATGTCGCTCTACTAAAGTATTGATTTTGTGCATTTATGGGATACGTTAATATGGTAAAATATACAAATGTGAATATATTCTAAATAATATTAATATTGTATGTATTTTATTAATATTATAAACGTTAATATATGATATATTGTATATTATATAATTGTATTAATATTATTTATACGATTATAGAATAATAAAATTTCATTTGGCATAAGTAGATATGTTTAACATGTACTTGCAATATTTTCTTGTATTATAAGTGCATCAAATCCGGAGTTTATTCATTACATGCAACTGTTATTAAACTACTATGTCAATTATTACGAAATTATTGTATTTTATTAATATTATTTATACGATTATAGAATAGTAAAATTTCATTTTGCATAATTAGATATGTTTAACATGTACTTACAATATTTTCTTGTATTATAAATCTCAATTATTACTGAATTATTATTCAAATTATTATCAATTATGTTCATGTCAAAACACAGCTTAGAAAAGACTGAAGTAACACTACCAAGGTCAACGCATACGTGTCATACTATACGACTATATCTTTGTAACTAGAGGAAAGAGGAACAAATTAATTTTTCAATTAAAATAATTCCCTATTATAATAATTTTCTATTACAATAATTGTCCTTAAAACTTGCGATTGAATCATTGTTAATAATTGACTGATTATCAAAACAAGTTTGAAGTAAACAAATAAAATTGACCAGCTTGTTAATTTTAGTGTTAAAGGTATTACATAAGATGAATATATCAGTGTTACGAATACAATGTAATATTCATTGATATTAATAATGTTTGTTGTAGATTAATAATTTAGACCTCAGTTATCATCCCCAGATGATAAACATTAAAAGTAGTTATGATAAATATTGAAAAAAGCGTAAAAATAAAATACATTTACTGTAATGCATCAAATATTTTGCTAATAATAATTTGGTTACATTATACGTAATATCAAACTCGTCTTTCTACAAACACTTTTTTTTTTAAATTTGTATAGTTATATTCTTGTACATATTTCCTTTGGATTTATATTCATTATGACTATTCGATATTTGTTATATTTGCAGGGCATAATTACAATCTATAAACTTTAATATACAAAAATAAATTGTATTACGTTAGAACACTGCATTCAATTTTTCCTCCAGTATATTTTTTTGTTCTGAATTTGTATATTTATGTTTTGTTTATATATTATTATTATATGTTTGTCATAAATGAAGTCTATCGGTACATTAACATACTAAACTCATCTTTACTCCAAAAACTATTTTTTTAGTTTATAAATTTATATAATTTTATATATTTCAATTTGAATAAATATTCCTCCTTTAATATTTATACCATTCAATATTTGTCGTATAAACGTTATAATACAAATATTGTATTATATCGTTATAAACGTTAATATACAAAAATAAATTATTATACATTAGAACATTGCATTCAATTTTTCCTCCAGTATATTTTTTTGTTCTAAATTTGTATATTTATGTTTTGTTTATATATTATTATTATATGTTTGTCATAAATGAAGTCTATCGGTACATTAACATACTAAACTCATCTTTACTCCAAAATTTATTTTTTTAGTTTATAAATTTATATATTTTTATATATTTCAATTTGAATAAATATTCCTCCTTTAATATTTATACCATTCAATATTTGTCGTATAAACGTTATAATACAAATATTGTATTACATCGTTATAAACGTTAATATACAAAAATAAATTATTATACATTAGAACATTGCATTCAATTTTTCCTCCAGAACATTTTTTTGTTCTAAATTTGTATATTTATGTTTTGTTTATATATTATTATTATATGTTTGTCATAAATGAAGTCTATCGGTACATTAACATACTAAACTCATCTTTACTCCAAAATTAATTTTTTTAGTTTATAAATTTATATATTTTTATATACTTCAATTTGAATAAATATTCCTCCTTTTATATTTATACCATTCAATATTTGTCGTATAACCGTTATAATACAAATATTGTATTGTATCGTTATAAACGTTAATATACAAAAATAAATTATATTACATTAGAACATTGCATTCAATTTTTCCTCCAGAACATTTTTTTTCTAAATTTGTACATTTATGTTTTCTTTATACATTTTAATTGAAATACATGTTTCTTTTTATATTATTATTACGTGTTTGTCACAAGTGAAGGCAATCGTTATGATCGACAAGGTTGCATTAGCATACTATACTCATCTTTAATCCAACATTTTTTTCTTTAGTTTATACATTTATATATTTTTATACATTTCAATTTGAATACATGTTCCTTTTATATTTGTATCATTTAATATTCGTCATATACGAGGACAATCGTTATTATCGATAAATGTTAATATAAAAAAATAAATTATATTACATTAGAACATTGCATTCAATTTTCCCTTCAGAATATTCTTTTTTTAAATTTATACATTTATGTTTTCTTCATATATTTTTATTTGGATACATATTCCTTTTGTATTTATATTATTCAATATTTCTCGTATATTCGGGCAATCCTTATGATCAATAAACCCTACTATACAAAAACAAATAATAACACCAAACTCATGCTCGCTTCGAGAAAATTAAAATAAAACACTCCTTCTCACTTAGCGACACCCAAAGAAATCGTCACTTGACCCTGCCAAACATTTCTCAGACACCAGTAACCTCATGATTACCTTATTCTTTTCATTCAAACTCCCTCCCCCCAAGAAAAAAAAATCTCATCACCGAAATTCTACCTCCAACCCCGCTAATAAAAAACCCATCACTCACCGAGGTCTCCCGACGACGATCCTCAAAGTTGCCAGACCAATATTCCTCCGGTGGGAAGCAGCCAGGTCCGCGGTATAGCACGAGTGGTATCCGCTCGAGTAACCGGTGGTTACGGACCCTTATCACAGAAACCGTTCACAAAAGTCCGTTTGCTTCGTTCCGTTTCAACGAGCAACGAGTTTCGGAACTTCTTTCTCAACTTCTTTCTCGCGCAACGTGAGCGGTTGTTTATTACTACGTTTATTAACTCGTTTATTTAAATACCACGAGGAAACTTGGTTCTCAACGATGCGTTCAAGCAGAGGACGGCGATTGTTATCGTTCACTGTATGCTCGGTTCGCGGAAAACATTTCAAGGTGACGCGGTACGAGCGATAGGGACGCGCCGACGGGGATGAAACGGCGACCCTTCCGCCGTGACATTCGGAGCGGTACTGCGAGCCTCGCAGCGACCCGGCGTCCCCCACCACCGATCGACCCAGACCGCCGGCGGCCAATCGGCGGCGCGGATTCGCGGACGTTCAAACTCTTTCCGTTGGAACCGCGAACGTCGCCGATGTCGGTTTTGCGAGGGGTCGGAAAACACTGACGCCACTTTTGGCGGTCTCACGTGTTGCTTCGCTGTAAACACCGGTGATCCGGAGTTCGTTTGAGAGGGGAGCTCTGGTCCAGCTAATGTATTTTTCTAATGCGTATAATTTACAGATGTAATTGATCTTTGTTATTGATACTTTCTTTAGATATAGAGGGACGTTTAAAGAAGAAGATTTGACAGTGTAGATTTAATTTGAATGTGTATATATATATCCTCCAGAATATTTTTTTTCTAAATTTGTACATTTATGTTTTCTTTATACATTTTAATTGAAATACATGTTTCTTTTTATATTATTATTATAATTAATATTTTATATTATTATTATTATTATATTTAAAATCTAATAAATTTTCAATTATATATGTAGAGTTTTATGAAAATCTAATAACTTTTCAATTATATATGTCGGCCATATTGGATCCGCCATATTAAATTTTGGAATTCCGATATAAAATTGAAAGTTTGCAGCTTGGAATTTTGGAATTCCTATATCATCCGATCATGAAAATCTAATAACTTTTCAATGTACATCTCGGCCATATTGGATCCGCCATTTTGAATTTTGCAATTCTAATATCGGATTCAAAGTTTGCGATTCAAATAAGTCATAAATACCAAGTTTCATGAAAATCTAATAACTTTTCAATTATATATGTCGGCCACATTGGATCCGTCATTTTGAATTTTGGAATTCCGATATCAGGTTCAAAGTTTGCGGCTCAAATAAGTCATAAATACCAAGTTTCATCAAATTCTAATAACTTTTCAATATACATCTCGGCTATATTGGATATATATATATATATAGTAGTCGGAAGGAAAGGATTCGGTAAAAACTGTTTTTCCACTACAAATTATTATTTGTACGGATTTTTGACACCGAATACTTATTCTTACTTATTATAAAGTGATTTCGATATTTGTTTGTCCTGAGTAGGGATTTAGAAGCAGCATGTAAAAGCTGGTTTTATTTACGAGCAATTACAACAAACCTCTTTATTTATTTTCGTGTTCTTTTAAAAATTGTTTCAAAATTATGTTATAGATGCTTTTTTTTGTTGTAAAGTATTTTTTATTTATTTAAATATTCGTGTCTTTGCGAATTTCTATCCAATTCGAAAAGTGTTGTACATGCGCATAGATGCCATTTTGAATATTTTTTATTAAATTCCAAATAAAAACACGCAACTAACAACGAATCAAGCTTCTGGTAGTGGTTGATGTGTACGTTGGTATAACGAAACTGTCGGTATATTGAAACAATCCGCAGCGTCAAAAAGTGAGGAAGTTATTAACACGTGCAACTCTTACTGCTTTTAAATCTGTACTCAGAACAAAAACATATCAAAATCTATTTATAATAAGTAAAAAAAAGGATACAGTGTCAAAAATCGGTACAGATAATAATTTATAGCGAAAAAATATTTAAAAAATTTTTTTAATTTCAATATACATGTCGGCCATATAGGATCCGCCATTTTGAATTTTGCAATTCTGATATCGGATTCAAAGTTTGCGATTCAAATAAGTCATAAATACCAAGTTTCATGAAAATCTAATAACTTTTCAATGTACATCTCGGCCATATTGGATCCGCCATTTAGAATTTTGGTATTCCGATATAAGATTGAAAGTTTGCAGCTTGGAATTTTGGAATTCC